TCTCTCTCTCTCTCTCTCTCTCTCTCTCTCTCTCTCTCTCTCTCTCACACACACACACACACACACACACACACACACACACACACACACACCTCGTCACAAATGCTGAGATGCAAGCAAAGCTCTCAATCCAGAGCAGCTCATACCGCCAGTTGGTTAAGTCACTACAGGGTGTTCACTTCACATTTGAACCATCCACTTCCCATTGGGTGGTAGTTTAGGCCTACCACATGCACACATAGAGCCTCATTCAAAATCCGAATTGCCTATTACTTGGCAGGTCACTGCAGATCAGTGAAGGTGATGGCGGCCACAAGAGCCTCATTCAAAATTCACATTGCCTATTACTTGGCAGGTCACTACCTACCAGAGACATACCAGAAGGTAACTGTAAGGTGATAGTGGCTGGGTTGCATACCGATTCAAATGGTAGAGTAGAAGTACAAGTTTGGATGTGTGTCATCATGCCAATGATATTATGGCATCATCAGTTTTGATTGCCATTCACATTGATATATCAGTTTGGATCAGTAAGCTTAGCTTGTCAATACATCAGTCGTCACATGAATAAATTACTCTCCCTCATCATCCACTAACAAATGAAACGAGTTCGCTATTGTTCCTGCCTCAGACCACACAGTGTGTCACCCAGGTGCATCTCCTCAGCGACGTGCGGTACCAAAGAACTGCCTCAAGATTGAGACGTCGGTGAAACTCCTTCAGAAAAAGGGATGGAAGAACAATAGGGATCACCGGGCCTCAAAACGACCCATCTGGAAACAGAAAGCGGAAAAGCAGGCTAGCCAGGCACAGGGTCCTGGGTTGAGTGGCATGCAAATTTGCATGTCAATCACTACAACACCTTGTGATGTGTTGCTGAATGCTGAACGCTGTCACGGATTATTACATTGATGTTAAAACGACAGGAGTAGAGCCAGCTGCCGAAGAGTAGTGCCAGCTGGTGAAGGTTTGAGGATCCCAAGGTTGGCACGGACAGGGGAAGGAAACTGTCAATCTTTGCTCAAATTTTCTGTGCAAGGTGACCGTATACCAAAAACACCCACCTAGCACTTTTCTGTGCAAGGTGACCGTATACCAAAAACACCTACCAAGCACTTGCCCAACCTAATGGATTATCTGCTTGTAGATTCTAGTTAGCAATTATCAGGGTTAAAGATATTATACCCGTAGTTCCAAAACATGACACCTGCACACAACATGCATGGGCAAGCACACGAGAGAGACAGAGAGGGCCAGGAGAGAGAAAGAGGAAGAGAGAAAGGACTCATTCTGATTTGAGTACTGAATGCGGTTCCTGAACTTGTTGGTTGGATAACCATTCTGGTGGAGTCGAGTCCTCAAGTTCCGTTATTTTTCGCTGGCATCCTGTGTGTTATATCTGACTGGAGACAAAGTTGAACGTTGGCAAGTCTCATTGTCATCTACCAATGCACACAACTCCTTCCACCTCTTTCTCCAAAATCCAGTGCCCGGGATCTCTTTGTGCAACCCTGGAGAGCCAACCCCACGACTCCCTTGATCTCGGTCTACAATTGCAATGTTTTCCTGCAAGTCCACTCCATCAACCAACATACAGGAACATCTGCTTCTTTTCTTCAGAACAAACGGCTGATTACTTTCTCCAGGACCGAGACCCATTAATCACGTTACAATCGCAGGATCATGCACTACCTAGTTGTGTAACCCCACTACCCCACCTGGGTGCCTACTACAAACCCTTTCCTTCCCGCTTCTCCTGTCTTATTGCTCAACAAAATGACAAAACATCGCGCACACAGCACAGAAGACCACCCTACGACCATGTGGTGGTAAAAATGATATCCAGGCACAAACACTATGCATACTATCTGCTGATACCCCAGCCAAGGACTCTAGCCCAATTCCTACACTTAACTAGCTGCTTGGCTGGGGTATCAGCCAAGCAGCTAGTTAACAAGCAGGCTTACCAAAGGGAATATGTCAACACAGGCCTTCTGGAACAGACAGACAGACAACATATGAGAGGCAGAACGAGGTCATCACCTCTTTTCCCATTCGTCATAACTTCCTGGGCCATTGCACTTGCAACAGCCCTCCTATCCAACTGAGCAAGTAGATTTCGGGCTTCATCCCTCTCCTTCTTCACCCTGGCAATTACACGGCACGCTGCATCATGCTACACACATATAACAGAACATACCGTCAGCTAAGGTTTTGCGCCATCTCAAGAAACTACTCAAATTATGTTGGACATTCAGCAAAACCAAGAATATGTGGGAGATCCAGCGACAACAACATGATATCATTCCAGGGCTCAAGGGCACTCAGCCACTCACATGTTGGCTGAGTGCCAGTCAGCTCGCACCTTTACGGTCAAGCAGTTATAAAAACAGGAATCGAATCACATCAAATAATGAAACAGACACACCGAGCATAAAGAAATAAAACCAGCAAATGTGAACACCTTCCACCCAGGTCCTCTCATTCCCTGCCGCCTTCTGCCAATGCTTCCCTGCGCTTAAGATGCTGTCGAAAAGCGTGAGCCAGCCAAGAACAAAAAAAAAAAAACATAGATAGAGAAACTGCCTCTGCCGGTATGAGACATTTTCTCCTTTACTCGTCAGCTTTGCACAAATCTTCCAGAAATCCCACACACTCTCTTCCTGCAACATTCACAAAATCCATTTCCACCCACGTCCTCTCATTCCCTGCCGCTTTCTGCCAATGCTTCCCTGCACTTATGATGCCGTTGAAAAGCGTGAGCCAGCCGAGAACAAAAAAAAACAAGAACATAGATAGAGAAACTGCCTCTGCTGATATGAGACATTTTCTTCCTTTACTCGTCCGCTTTGCACAAATCTTCCAGAAATCCCACACTCTCTCTTCCTGCAACATCCACAAAAACACACTTCATGCACTAACCTGCACCCTAATGCCCAAAAAACTCGTTTTACCATCAACTCCTCAAATTCATCACGAATGATAGGCCCAACCAACCCCTGTGGCATCCTCAATAGTCTTACTACTCTGACATCCACTTATTTTGCAGTCTTCACCCCTGGGTGCTATTACTCTGCCATGCAGTTTATGTGCCATCCTTCATCCCTGGCGCTATGAGCATTTGACCTCTACTTCTCCTTTCCCAGCCCTCCCTTCGTCATCTGTCACGTTCCCCATCCTTTACGCATATCTTAGAACCCCTCACTGCTCAAACAAGATGTTAAACTTCATGAAGAAGTGTTAGAGAAATCAGGGGCTGTTCATAGATTGCAAATTGACAGAAAAAATGTCCTGTTACAGTTGTCATTTTCCACGCAACTTGTTCCCTTTGTTACTTACGGGGCCCCCTAGCACTTCCAGGCCACCTCCCCCNCCCCCCCCCCCCCCCCCCCCCCCCCCCCCCCCCCCCCCCAGGACAAAGACACACAGATTGGAATTCTAATGGTGTCGTACCACACATATTTCGTTCAGAAGGGGGCAAATGCCAGGACGAAACACCATCAGCAGAAGAGAAGCCGCCCAACCTGATACAGGGCATGACTCAGCTCCATGCGAACAGTGTGCAGCTGCTGCAGCAGAGCAGACTCACCCAGCATCAACGCATCCCATTCCTGCAGCCGCAAAAGACGATCGCAAACAGGGAGGAGACTTCAGAGACGTGATCAATGACTGTGCAAAATAATGTCATCATTTCTTCCATACCCTAGTGCCTGCTAAAGATGACCAGGACAAGTAAGCAAAAGAAGAAAAACGAGGTACACAAGATGGTGATAGTCCAGGACCTGCTGCAGGGCCTATCAATCCACGTTTTCTTCACACATATTCCAGGCAGTGCATTCAATAAAAAGCGGTACGCAAGATGGTGCCTAAGAACGGTAAAAGAACAGAATACAGTAGGAAAACAGACTATACCACTTGCAAAACCTGTCCTCGTTCCTTCGTACATGTTCAGGCACACTCGCCGTGCCTCTCTGTCAATCAAACCACCAATTAATCACTGCTTCCTGCATTTGCCTGGATCCCACAGGTTATCAGCATCACTAAGCGACATTTTTCAATTTCTTTTCCACCCTTTATCTCATGGCAGAAAAGCCATCTGTTTGACCAAGCATATTCATAAATGCACTCAAAGCACTCTCTCTCTCTCTCTCTCTCTCTCTCTCTCTCTCTCTCTCTCTCTCTCTCTCTCTCTTGGAAAGCACTAGGAGAGTACCCAGATCATGTAACAAAATGAAGTCCAGCTGACTGACACACCATTACTGGCAACACGTTCCTTTTGTCCTCTGGAAACGGAGCACACAGCACTAACTGATATAGCACAGAAGCAAAGGCAAGTCGCACAACCACACCTGCGTTAGAGCCCGCAGCACCTTTGATAACCTCAATTTTCTTAACCAAGTAGAGGGTAGCTGCATATATCTTTGGTGAAGGACTCACCAGAGGCTTGAATGTGCATAATTTGAAAATCACTTTACCAGATTGCTGTCCCATGAGGACTGCATATTTCTGTCTAATGAGCGTTGGCAGCACAAAAGCAACGCCTGCTTGCACGAGGTACCAACAGGCCCTGCTTCACTCTTTTAGAGAAAATGAATAGGAGACCATAAAGATAGCGCAATCCCAGGCCTGACAGCTCATTTTCTAGTGCAAAAAGTGGCGCTTACAGTCCCCACCCCCCTCTTTCCCCTTTTTCTCTTCCTTTTCACTGCATAAGGGGTCTTGGGGTCTTCAGCTCCCACGCCTAAGGCTTGGGCAGACTGCTTCCACAAAATGACAGCTAGCTTCTGCAGGCAAGGTTCAAAGTTCAAATTAAGATTCATGGAGTTGAACTTACATTCTGGAAAATCCGCAGCATGCCCGGTATACTTGCAGCCTCCAGCGGCCTCGGCTTGACAGCCTGCAGGGCCAAAAGTTAAGGCGAGTGTAAGCAAGCAGCAACTGGAATCAGAAAGCTGTGAGTTGAAAAACTCTGCACTGTGGAAACAGAAACCTGTTAAATTTCGATTTTTTTTTTTCTTTTTTCGTTTTCAGGGGGTTAGCCCCCAAAACATTATCTCACACAACAACATTTGAGTTCCTGATCTCTTTATCAGCAGTTTGTCCACCCTCAGCCACCAGCTTGGTTTTGTTAAAGATATTGATCCAAGCAAGTTTTGTTAAAGATCTCGATAGAGTCGATGCCAATCTGGGAGAATCATATCTGAGGGGGTCCAACCTTTTTTTCTAAAAGGGAGTCTAAAACTTAAAATTGTTACAGCACAGGGGCTCGACTTGCATCATGAAAGTGAAACCCAGTTCCTGCCCACCTACATTACCTATATTCTCCACATCAAACTATCACCAGCAAAAACGCGGAACTTAGATCAATGCCTGTGTAAGATGGAAGAAAGGAATCAAAATTGCCTGCCAATACAACCACGATAACCCCCGAATCACCTAGAGGTTACGCAGGATGAAACATCAGACTGGCCCCTCATTTCCATGCATATCTATACCAACTGCGCTTCAAGACCACATCACAGGTCTTCCAATTAACTTAAGACAATGAGGGCAAGCCTGACCAAGCTGGTTCCTTGGCACTTCACCTCTATGCTAAATGTGTTCTTGCCCCCTACACAAAGACCACTTCACGCTGAATTCAAACCATTTACTCGTACGGCACCCAAGACAACTTCCACCTGGCAAAACCAAAGATCCGACACAAGTAATATCTCATAATAGATCATCCACTACCTTCATCACGCCACAGGAAAGAAAAAAAAAGCGAGCTAATTCCACAAGCTATTTGGCATGTGTAGCGTTGAAAAAACGCAAGCTAATTCCTACCCCTCAGAGCTACACATGCCATCTGAGCAATCACCACGGTTTGCACGCGCCATATGCACGACAAGCTGAGGAAATAGACGACAGATAGTGTCAACGAAACCCAATGTTCATCGGACGCATGCCCATAACCAGTGGAATCATCTTACCTGGTTCGTTTTGATGGAAACAAGCTCCTCCTTTGTAAGAGGTTCATTGGTAACCGGGCACGTGCCATGTTCCTGCAAGTCGCAACGAGATGTCAAAAACGTCAAACGAATACAGCATACACACCTGCAAGGACGGCATTGCCAATCATCACATTTAATGTTTACTGCCACAGTCCTCTTCATGCAATGTTCTTCAAACAGTATTTGCAACCGCTGCAGTCTTTCGAATAGAAAATGACATTGATTGGCACACTCCTTCATGCTTCCGAGGCACTGACTGTTGCAGTTCTGTCCGTATCCATTGTCTAAAAGCCAGAGTTTTTTGTATAGAATAACATTGATTGGCACACTCCTCAATGATTCCGAGGCATCGCCTGCTGCAGTCCTGTGTTTATGGTGTTACTGCAGTGCTCACTGCCACAGTCCTTTGTATACAGTACATATACTGCCACAAACTGTTCACCTATCTGAAGTATTATCTCCCTCAATTCTTCATTTATGGCATTTACAGTGGTATTGCCTCCCCCAGCTTATTTGTTTGCAGTGTTCATCTGACTTCATCATGACAGTTCTTCATTGATTGGCCACACTGGCACTGTCTGGCAGGCTCTTTGTTATCTGCTCAAACGTTGGTTAGGCAGCTGATCTACCGACAAAGCTGAAGAGAGAGAACAGAAAATGCTTTATGAAGCATCCATCATTCACGGCTTGGGCATTCACCTTTCCCGTGGTGCCAACCAAACAACCAACCAACCAATCACTTGCAACTCGCCCCTTCCCTTACTAAAATTGCTCGCTGTACCCGTGGCCCGTTTCATCCCTTCCTCCATCCACAGTCGCACGTGGTCAATAAAGTTGACCAACTTCTTAGAATCCCCGCCCATTATCAAGCAGAGCATCATCCTTCCGATATGCTAGAACCCCTCCAGTTGAGATGAGGTCAACCTTTCTTCATCCCTCTCCAAGAGGACCTTCCAGGTGCACGTCTTCTTGTCGCCTACAGCCAGCCAGGCCCCTTACAAACCCCACTGCATGCTATTGTGTGACGTACTTACAACTATGCTGGTCGCTGGGCCGCCCCGGGTAGCTTTCGGGCAGCCAGGCCAGTCGGGTCCATTGGTTGGATACCGGGTGGCCCAAGCACATTTCACAGCAGGGGGTAATGACGACCCGAATCGATTTGGGCGCCCTCCCGACCTGCCCCGCAGCCCCTACCTGCAGTGGGGGAAAAAAAAGGGGTCCGACCGGGCCTCCTTGTGGAGAAAGGCTGGATTATGTGCACGAATGCCTTCGTGGTATTCAACATTCGAATTCAACGCCCTTCCCGGCTAAGGCATTCGCGCAAGGGTATGGGCGTCACCCCACTACTCACCAAATGTGCAAAAGGAGAATGAATCTTCCGTTAGAACATGGAAAGATATGCCGCCATATTTCTGTGCATGTTGAGAGTGGTGGAGCGAGGCCCTATGTTCCTCATGAGCCATTGGTGTTTTCTTGCCACTGCCATTTAAGGAGGCCCACTGCAATCTCGAACGCCCTGCGGGTATTGAGGTCAGGAAGGAGGGGGAGAGAGAGAGAGGGTGGTTCTCCTTCTCCCCATTAAGACCCTTCTCCACGTCGCAACCCTCCTCTCCCCTCAATTCGCAAAAAACTTCTACACCGCCGCTGCCGTCGTTGCTGCCATCGCCATGCCCCGCTGCCATATTCACACCGAGGTGCCATCTCGAAGCCCCACAGGCCGAGAAGGTTAGGGGGGGAATAAGCCCGGGGGGGGGGGGAGTGAGAAGAGAGAGAGAGAGAAAGCCCCGATAGTGGCCCTCCTCCCCCTCATTGTCAAAGTCTTCCCTTCCCGATAGTGGCCCTCCTCCCCCTCATTGCCAAAGTCTTTCCTCCCCATCCCCCCCGCACACCCTAGTGAAGGCTTTCCCCTTGTCGCAAAAGTCTTTCGCCCCCCCCTCCCCTTTCCCCCCATATTGTGACCCTCCTCTCCCTCATCGCCACAACCATTACCTTGCATGGCCATCACTCCCATCCCCAGCACGTTCCACTCACATGACCATTACGTTCCACCCCTGCCATCGCCACTACCTTCCCCGCCCATGGCCATGACCTTTCCCCCCATCTCCTCCTCCCTACACCACAATATCTCCTCCAACCACCTTCATATCACCTCGCCAATTCCTTCACCACCGTACATTGCCCTCCCCTCCCGATCACGTGGCTCCTACATCATGTGTGTTGTCTCCATGCAACCTCCTCTCCCCATCACTTTGAGTGCATCCGGACAATTAGTAGCAGCCAATTGCATCACCTTCACCCCCTGCGCCACCAAATCCACATGCACCTGACGACGAATCAGCTGCAGATACAGGCAACAGTGCACGAGGGGTTTTAGAGAATCGGGAGGGGGGAAAAAAGAAAAACGAGGGACCACTGCCAGCGAGTTGGTAGCAGCCTCCTCGGCAGCAGTTGAGAAGCGCAACAGGGAAATAAGGTGGAGCACGCAAGACCGGAAAAGCAGATTGAAAATAGGCAGAATGTTGTCGTCAGTAGAGAGCAGCCGCCAGCCATTGCCGCTGAATAAATACAAGACATGACAACGGCGGGCAATGCCACAAACTTCCCCATGTCTATTCGTCAATTTGCCGCTATTTACCGGCATTTGGCAAATAGCATATGCTATTACATGCTATTTGCCGCAATTTTTTGTCTGTACCTGGCAAGCAAATAGCATGCTATCACATGCTTTTTGCCACTATTTGCCAGTATTCGACAAATAGCATATGCTATTACATGCTATTTTGCCAATGCTATTTACCTCTTTTTGGCAAAAATAGCATATGATATTACATGCTATTAGCCGCTATTTGGCAAAATACCATATGCTATTTGCCGAATAGCAAGCGTATGCATGAGGAATCGATAGCAGCCAGGCACCGGGAAGAAGACTTGAGTAGAGGAATTATGTAATCGGGATGATTCAATATTTTAAAGCAGACGGAGAGCCCTTGAAAACAAGGTAACCCCGGATTTTTCTCCCCATCTGAATCAAACAAGGCAGCCAGTAGAAGAGGCGCTAAAAAAAAGGAATGCAAATCAAACAGGTTAAACACAAACTCTCTGGTCTCAACACCGCCTGCCCACACAAAAGAACAACAACAGCGCTTCTTCTGTTCGCGAGTGTGTATCATTATTACTTTACTCTCAGTTTTATGCCTTTTTTCCCTCAACGTCATATACCCCGTTTGCCACACACCCTTTGTTGCCCCCCCACACACACTCTCGCTAATCATAAGACAGTCCTGATTGGCTGCGTTGCGCACGCTCACCGGTCAACGGTACTTTGCCTTCTAGGGCAATCCATAATGCTCTTAGGGTAATCAGCCTCACTCCGTGGAGGATACACGGAGGCATGGACGGATCCAGCACAACCAAGTTCGCGGCTTTGTGGTTGGCTACCTATTGAAAACGCGTACTCTGATTACACTAGAAACGTGCACACTGACGTAGTACGGTCATGCCAATGGTATTATATACAGATGCGTCAGGCTGTCAGTTCTTTTTCTTCTTCTTCTTCTTCTTTCTGTTCTTAACTTGACATTTGGACCATTTCTCGATTTATGCGTGTCTTTGTATGCCGACAGATTGTCTTTTTTAACGAATTACCATTAACCAACCCTTCACAACGTCTCCTGAATATCGGCAGCAGTTAAGAAAAAAAAAAAAAAAATTGCGGCTCAGAGGAAAGTAAAGCAGCAGGAAGAGAGAGACAGATAGGAGCCCATGACGAGAAGAAAGGGAAAAAAAAAAAGAGAAAGCTGCAACTGCCAAGTCAGGAATAACGGACACGGTATGCTCATATCCTAGCCGTGAATCTCGACTGAATACGGCCGCAATTGCGATCAGGTACGCCCTGGAAAGTCCTGGCATGAGCATGCCTTCGCGGCTTCGGCCACTTCACGCCCCCCGGAAGTCCACCGGAAAATAAATGAATGAATGATGTCCGCCACTTCACGCCCGGAAGTCCACCGGAAAATAAATGAATGAATGATGTCCGAGACAAAAGATGAACAGTCCCACATGGCGGGCCATCAAAAGAAAGTGCGAGACGCCAACCGGCCCCGGGCACAAGCGTCACAAAACAGGAGAATATACGAAGCATAAGAGTGCCAATCGATCAAGAGCTATAATCACAGATTGCAGCAATGCGAATCGGCGATAATACAAGTAAATACCCTGGCTAAGCACCTACCCTCTTCACGTCTTTTAGGGCATCTAAAGTACAGTAAGTACTTGGGTCCTCCACAGTGCCCGAAGTTTCAGCCTTTCAGGTATCACCTACACTACCTGAGCGGCCAGGTCGCATCAATCAAGAGTAAAAGAGTCATCCTGATCGAAAGACCGAGGTCGCGACAAAACCGGATTTCAACTTCTGTCTCTGAAGTGCAAGAGTGTGCCGTGCGTCTGCAGAGTACCTACCTACCTTTTCACCCTAGACATACCCCAGGTAATCAACAACAACAACAATTTCTTTCCCAAACTCGTTTCCCACTATGGGCATACTCGTTATTCTGCAATGTGCACTCGTTAGTCTTGATTTTTATTACTGCCCTAAAGCGCGGTGCTGACACGTTCTGGCACTAGGATACGTTCTTGTTCTTGTTCACCGCTACCTCAGCGCTCATCGGGTCCTTTCGTGAGTCGCTTCGACCCATCATCTTGGGCTCGCGGCAGTCTTACTCATCCCTACGTCTCTGCACTTAATGGTCTTCCCATACTCTGTAGCTATTCAGCCACCGACATATACTGTACCTTCAAGTGCTCCAGTTCCCTTGATAATCTGCTCCCGCACTCAACTTGACCAGAGGAACACACTATTATCTATCACTCAATTGATTGATTGATTGATTGATTGATTGATTGATCACTCATCAATTAACGGCATGACTCGCCGGCATCCACCTTCTGCGTTGCATTCGGTGTTCGGTTGATTGATTGGTTGATTGATTGGCTGATTGATTGCCTGATTGATTGGTTGATTGGTTAGTCGACAGAGTTGTTCACTGACCACATGATTGAGTCGTCTTTCTCGACTTTTTATCACTGAGTTGGATACATTGAAGAAGGGGACCAAAATAAAAAGGGACAGACTGAAAGGTATCAGGGAAAACCCGAGCGAATCCGGGTTTGTCTATCCGTCAACAGAAAGTAGTACAGACACCTCAACAGGGGCGACTGACTGACCTTCGCCTTGTGGCTGGAAGAGTACATACATGTGGCTGTTGATGAGTTCACCCAACCCTGATGGATACGATAAGCTCGTTTGGAGCTAACCTCCTGTTTAAAAAACGGACAAAACAACCAAATGGGATGACCGTACTCAGGGCGTTCTCTATCCCCCAGTGAGCATAGCCGTTCATGAACAGATCATGAGTTCAAATCTTGATGGATAAGGTCATGTTCGGGCTAGCTGCCTTTCCAGAAAAGCCAACCACAAAAGGGTGAACGGACTGAGCAACGTTCGATCCGAAGTGAGCAGTACAGGTGTCCATCGACAGATCACGAGTTCAAATCGTGATCGATACGATAAGTTGGAGCTAACCGCCTTCTCCCAAAAACGAAAAGAAAGGGTGAACGGACTGAGCACGTTCGCTACCCGTTCGCTACCCAGTGTGTAAAGGAGCCGTCATGGCGGCATGGCCACGTCCTACTCTACAATCAGAGAATACTCGGAATCCTGATTTAAAGCTCTTTCGTGGACAATCGATCATCATTATGGTCTATAGTTCACTGAATGAAGGAATTTTGTGCATTGACCTTAGCGCTTAAATATCGCACTGAGTTCAAAAGAAGCACGCTGAAGAAATTTGGCCCACAGTTTCAATGTGCNATTTTGTGCATTGACCTTAGCGCTTAAATATCGCACTGAGTTCAAAAGAAGCACGCTGAAGAAATTTGGCCCACAGTTTCAATGTGCTGAGACGGACGTGGTCAAATATATACCCAGCGGACAATCGATCATCACTATGGTCGATAGTTCCACTTAATGAAGGAATCTTGTGCATTGACCTTAGCGCTTAAATATCGCACTGAGTTCAAAAGAAGCACGCTGAAGGAATTTGGTCCACAGTTCCCATGTGCTGGGACGGGCGTGATACTATATACCCAGCGGAATGGCGGCGTGGCACTGTCGTACCCCACGATAGCCCGTGCAGCATGTCAGCGTCGGCTCCTACCCCGCGCCCCAAGAACGCGGTTGCTGAACATTTGAAGCAGAGCCGACAAATACCACCGCAGTGTTTCGCATCACCAACTTGTACAACAACTCTCCCCTCCATCCTCCACTGCACCACTCCATTCCATTCAAAAACGCGTTGGTGCAGATCTCCTCCCGTCGAAGCTTCTCCTCAAAATCAGGGTTTTCAAGATAGTTGCTGCCATTAGATGGCCACGGCAGTTAGGCGTTCTCATTAGGTGCCTAGATGCGATGGACACAGATCCCCTCAAAAGAAAGGGAAAGCAAGTTGCACGCCTTGATGGAAATGCCCGGGAACTATCCCTGAGACTCCGTAACATCGTCCCGAGCGGTCCGATCCTAAATCGAAGTAACCCCGGTCCGATCGTCAATCAAACCCCCTTCCCTTCCCCCCCGCCCCCGGCGAACACACACACACACACACACACACACACACACACACACACACACACACTATAGCGATGTGACAACACACACACACACACACACAGGTGCTCACCACTGCTCGCAGTTACCACCCACTAAGTTCACTGCCGTCGTCGGCAGGAGCCGATACTTCGTTCTCCACATAAAACTGATGGCAGATATATCTTTTTCTCTCTCAGTAGGGTTCAAGTGTGCTCCATGAAACAGACCGGTTGTAAGAACTAGAAAGTTGAAAGAACAAGAGAACGAACAAGAAAAGAGACAAAAGAACGTGCACTCCCTTGGGCTGCCTCTCTCTCTCTCTCTCTCTCTCTCTCTCTCTCTCTCTCTCTCTCTCTCTCTCTCTCTCTCTCTCTCTC